TGTGATGATGTTTGGTTACTSCTTATGTAATATTTGCATGTGAACTGCAAAAATAGGAGAGCTATTGCCTACATCCATTTTTCAGTTATTAAAGTGACTTTAGATGATGTATCTATTAAATAATGGATTTATGTTGCCTCAGGAGCTCAGGGCCTTTTCTGCCATTTATTTGTATAACTAAATATCTTTTTTATAAAGAAGTAGTTAGCTTGACTGCATGTGGAAATGGAACAAAACACTGCACATACATAAAGTAGGATAAAAAGGCAGTAAAAAGGCTTGATAAATATATTTTTTCCCCCAGACATTTCCATTTTTYCATGCTCTTCTAGAGCTGAATTTCTAGAATATCCAAGTTGCTTTGATACCCCTGCTGGACAGAAAGCCATGTAAGATCTTGCTTTTAATTATGATTATTTCTAATTTCCAGGCACCTAATTTCTTTAGTGCTTACTGCCTCCTTTTTTCCCTTCCCTTGACACTTTCAATATTTTCAATAGGTTTTATTCTGTATACCATAATACTGCTTTGCTTTGTGCTTGGTTAATAACTATATAAGCAGCAGCATTCTCAAAGGGTTGTATGTTTTTATCATATGATGACTTGCTTTACAGTTAAATCTTACAAAAATTACGAGAGTAACTTCATTTAAAATCCTAAACAAAAATTTAAATCAGGGTGCTGTGTGAATTTGTCTTTTCTTTTATGTTTTGATTTAAAGAAAAAAAAGAAAAGTTGCAGCAACCTCAAGACTAGCATTGGGTAACGCTTTGTCGTGTCTTGCGTATTTGAGAACAGTCTACAGTTATTTGCCACAGTGTAATTTCAGTGATTGGTACACCTGAGAGGCAAGGGAAGTTTTTTGTTTTGTTTTGTCTAGGTCTTTAATTACTACTTTGTTGTTTTGAGGCTTAGGTGCTTTAATGTAGCATTGTAGAAACACAGCGAGGAACTTTTTTGTTAGTAGGAGACTGGTTGCTTTTTACTCTCAATGGGACAAGTTTGAATCATGTCTACATATTCCTCTGAGTTAATCAAATGTGTTAAAGAAGGGGTCGCAGGGTACTGAGATAGAAAGAAGGTGGAGTTGAATGATTTGGGGGAGAAAAAGAAAGGGATGCTTCAGTAATTTATATCTTCACTGAGTGAGATAGGGATGACAAAAGGACACAGTCAGTGTGTGGATGGTGGTAAATTAACAGGTAAAGAGGAGGTAATGGGGAAATGGTGGAAATGGGGAATAAGCTTGAAGTTCTTAAAAGAATATCCCAAACTGTCCAATTGAACTAATTTWTGAAGGGAATTCTTGCAGAATAAAATTGTGAAAATGTTTCCACTTACTGTTTTTTTGTGGATCTGATGGGGAGCATTTGGCTTGGTTTTGATGGTGTTTCATGCTTSTTCAGTTGTATGTTTAATTTCATCATTTTGAAGTTTTTGTGCTTGTAGAAATTTGCTAATACACATGCCCTATGCATTTAAGAGTAGCAACAGAAAAAGCATTTAGGACTTAAAGGAATCTTATTTTATACAGTACCCTGAGAAGGCAGCAGTACCTGTGAAGGGAAATGTATATATGTCCCATAGTTGTCTTTGTTTTCCTTTAAAAATGGTAAAGAAAAAATAAGTCTTTTTTAATTTTTTTAAAAAATTGTAAACCTTGACTTACATTCTGAATTTTCTGTTTTTTAATATTGCATATTCTCTGTAGTTAATTCTGTGTTTTATAATATTGCATACTACTCATAGCTAATAAATATCAAAAGCAGGGCAAGCTGAATACCGCTTTTAAATAAAAAARTGGTACTTGCATTATTGAAATAGCTGCTATGGGAAAGTGTTTAAAAGCACACATTGAAGTGTGCATGCAATTGTAAAACCGATTTATCTTATTCTTTCCARAAAGAATATGCATGCTATGTGGTTTTGAATTAACTCATACTTAGTTTAGCATAGTTTTTTTTTTGGTGTGTGTGTGTTTTGTAGACTCTTGTTTCAAGTCTGGTGGAGACTGACCCATTTCAGGTAAATTTGGGGACCTTATGAATGTCTGGTTTCAGATATCGAAACTCCCAAGCAAGGTTTTGGGATTGCTCTCCAAGTGTTTCATGTGTGGGGTGAGGGGCAAGAGGAGGTGCATCTTCGCCAGTCAGTTTGCACCTCGAGCCCCTGGACTGTGCGAGTGCTGGTGCTYTGATGTGGTCCTTCGTGTGCTGCCCTTGGTGCTTCTCTGAAAAGGGGGTGAGGCCGATTCAGGCTGCTGGTGCAGCCCGTGACCGATGGATTTTTGGGAGGGGAGACTGTCCTTTGTCCTGTATTTCCTGACTTAGCTTGCCTTGGRTTCAGAGGAGAGCTGCAGCAGCAAGAACAAACAGCAAGACTGTGCTGCTTCTGCTAAGATTTGAGCAGAAGCCTTCTACTTTTCAGGGACTGGCTTAGTGTGAAAAACTAAATTAAAACTAACTTAGTTTTTCAGAGACTGGCTAACTTCAGCCTTAGTATGAATCTTCCCTTCRTTATATTGCTTTTGGGGGCTTATTAGTTGCAGAAGCGATACAGTACACGAGCATGGGAAGCAGAATCTTGTGAGAAGGTCAGAAATGCTTACAAAAGGAGGTGGGCAAATACAGTAAATTTCTCTCTCAGCAACTTCAATTGATTTACTGTAAGTAACTTTCCATGAATGTGTTTTTGAACTTGTGCAGTCTCGCTTTCAGCTCATGTAAAGTTTCAAAATCTGCAGCTTCTCTATAGCAGGGAGCTCCACAGGTTAATATGAAAAACGGCCTTCTGTAATTTATTTTAGTCCTGCTTGCCACGTGCCTAGATGCTCCCCCACTCTGTCCCTCCCCAAGCTTGTCCCTTCTTTATAAGCTGAAGTGACCTAGTTAGATTCACTGATCCTTATGCAAAGTCTATTCCATTCCTTAGTATTCGCTGCCTTGAGAGCTTTTCCAGCCTTTCTGTGGGTAGGCACCAGRACAGCGAGCAGTTTTAAAGACGCAGGGCTGTGCTTTAGCTCTCCTAACTTTTGACTTGCTTACTTGACTGCTGCTGCTAAGCATTGAGATGACTGTCTCAGGAAAACAGCCACTGTAACCACACAGTCTTGTTGTCAGTTGGTAATTGACARTTTTAAGCCTTCCATATTAAATGTTTTGACTATTTATTCCCCRAGTATTTCAGTACACTTACCTGCACTGAACTTCAACACTCAATGTAGTAACCCCCTTTTGCGTTTCTTTACAGTTAGGGCTTTATATTACTAAGAAAAAGGTAGTATCAGAGCATGACCTCGTTGTTCCCMTTTATAAACATACCTGTACTATGGCTCTCAGCACAAAGTGTTGTAGAATGTCTCAGTAGAAGGTTCCTACTGAGCAGCAACTGAAAATTGCTACCTTCATTTTTAACTATTTAAGGGCTAAAACCACTAAAAGGACTTTGCTTAGTTTCTCTTAAGGTGTTAATGATTTGCTGTGCAAGTGACTTTGCTGAAAGCATTGCAGAGACCTTGCAGTTGGATGTGTGAGGCGGTGCTTCCTCTTCACTTTAAGTGGAAGAGCATTTATATTCAAGGCTACTAATTCTCTTCTTAGTTACATTAGGTGTTTGCTATATTCAAACTAATAGACGTTCAAACGGGAATTATTAGAGTAAATCTGGTAAAAAGGCAAAATATGATTTTGAAATACAATTTGGTGTCAGTGCCAATAGTAAGGAGCAAAGCTTACTGATCTCATTCTCATCTCATAATTGTTTTTACTTTGACACAGATAACTGCCATTCCCTTTCAGAAATGAGACATTGGCCCATGCGTGTTGCAGTGAACCTTAAAGCTGGGCTCTCGGCTTTGGGACCAGCAGCGCAGGCCCCTTAGCCTGTGATGGGGGGTTGGACAAATCTAAGAGGGATTCACAGAACTTCAGTCAAAAAAGCTCTGGAGAAGGGATTTAGCTGGGGAGATTTTGTTTATTGATTTTGAGTGTTTTTTTCATTTTTTTTTTTTTCCCTTGGCATCTGTTACCTGTTTCAGTATCCTGCAAGGTACTCGGGTGTTTTCTTTGCAACGTGGCTGATGGTGCTTCACTGCCTGCYGAGTTCTCACTTCTTGGAGTTAGTTAGGTTACCTCAGCAGAGGAGTGTCTGAAGCGTTAGAGGGTATCTAGGCCATTCTTCTGCTTCTTTGGAAGCTGTGCTGTTTCTCTGAGAACACACCAGAACTGTGAGTGAGCTAAAGGGGCCTCACTGCAGAGCAGTGTGCGAGAAAGTGGAAGACAAGACCTCCTTCCATCTCTGCTCCGAGCGCTGCCTGTGAGTCAGGTATCAGCTGCTGACTGAAGGGCAAGGGCAGACCCAAAGCCCTCCCCAGCTCCTTGCTGGAGGAGTGCAGGATGCAAACTGGCTGAGTGAGTGGGAACCTCCACCAGCAGCTGCCTCATAGCTGTGGCACTTGTGCTTCATTCTCAACTAAGCACTGCTTTTCTTTTTTCTTTTTTTTTCTTTTTTTTTTTTTTTTGTGTGTGTGTGCGCGTGTGGTGTGTAGCTCTCTTAACTAGAGTGGGCCTTTCAGGGGACTTAAGTATGGGGACACTTGTTTTAAGAATATAAGATAGTCTTCTCCTTGAACATCTCCCAGTGTGGGCATAGGCAGTGTCAGAACTGTAGAGATTCATAGATTTATTAGCAAGAATAGGACTGGCTAGATGACCAGGCAAGGATTTAATAATTTCTCTGTTAAAATGTATTTCACCTTTGTATTTCTTTATGGAACTGCTTCACTATTCTAACTGTGGATCAGGAGATGATTAGCCCCAGAATGTACTTGTTCTGGTAACAAGCAGTGGCTGTGTGTATGGGTCCTCCTTTGCTGATACCAAGATGGGAAGAATAAAAGCTAGTCATTTTCTTCTTTGAAAGTTTTAACTGTGTATCATCGTCGACTAGAGAGAGTTATTTTGTGCTGTAATACAAGTTTCTTTTCTTTTGTTGTTAGGTTGTTGAAGATTACGCTGGAAGATGTCAGGTTCCCCTGCCTCAGCTTCAGGTGCTTCAGACAGCGCTCTGTTGTTTTACGTCTGCCTGTGTGTCGTTCCCAGCTGAATGTGAGCACGTACAATACGTTCTGAGTAGCCTAGCTCTGTAAGTATTTCTAACTACTATGTTTCATTTGCAGTATGGACTGTCAATGTCATATTTCTACTGTGGCAATAGGATCTCTCAAGAGAACATTAGCAGAGTGTTTTTACCAAGTTCATCATCAGGAACCAACTTGCACAGTGATAGAAACTCCTGAGGATAAAAAAGCTATAAATTGAATTGTCTTATGTCCTTGCTAAATATTCAAGTTGGATATCGTTAGACTGTGTTACAAAGGGATTTTTTTGGCAGAATGAAGTATCTAAAGTAGTTAGTTAAGTCACGCCCTTAAAATTTTTTTCATTGGAAAAACATCGTTTGGAATATCTACGGACTGACTTTTGACCCATAAGTTAAATTATCTCATGTTTTTAAACTTTTTATCTCTAGCGATGTAATAACTTATAATAATGTAAATAAGATTATTATAGTATTGAACAAATTAATTTAAAAATGATTTTATGTTGAGTCCTCTATATGCTTATGAGAATGACAATGATAGTTAATTGACTGGAAATCATGTTTAATATTACAAAGAGCTGTAGAGTGCTAGACCGTACATCTTGACATAATTTTTTTTTCCTTGACGCAATGGCTGTTGTTTCCTCCCTGAGTGTAATGATCACTAGATAACTAAAAATCTGGTTTTTTACTTTCTCTAAAAATCTGAAATAAAAATCTGAATCTTTTGGTGAGGTATAGAGCCTTAGCCTAGAGAGAATGTATTTTATCTTCTCATCAGCAGATGGAGACAAAAACCTGAAAGCTAGCTGTATTCCTACTTCTGCTCAAGTAAATTGGATTTATTTGTCCAGCAGATTAAATAGCTTTCTTGTTGAGCATTGCCCTTGAATATAGTTCGGTATTTCAATTCAGTATCTTGTTCTTAAACTCAGTAAGTCAGAGATGAGTCTAATCATCAGAGGGGAGTGCTCCTGGCCTTTCCGYCTTTGTTACTTGGTCAGAGCTGGGTTGCTCCTGAGATGCTGCTGCCTTTTACAGCCCTGGAGCTATCGATGCTGGTTGCACAGAATTCCAGGGTTTATCTTGACAGTACATATAGTATGGCTGGTGAAATTACAGCAAAGAGATTTACTCTGTGTGTGGGTGGGTGGGAGGGGTGGGGGTGTGTGGGGGGAAGAGTTCCTAAACACAAAAATAATTAGAGAATCAGATCCCAAATTTGTTTAAAAATGGAATGCTCGGATATCCTGGAGTGACTAGCAGTTACATCAGACAGTCTCTTCAGTTACTATTTTTTAGCAACAACAACAAAAAAAAAACCAAACAAACAAAAAAACCCCTCCCCCAAACTTTTAAATGTCAGATCATTTAAAAAAAAAAAGTAGCTATTTATATTTAGGGTGGATCCTGTCTCTGACTTAACCGATCACTGAACTCTCTCATACTTGGTCTTCAATTTTTGTACTTGGGTTTTGGAACTGCGTTTATGTACTGAGAGTGTTCTTCCATCCTAGGGTTAAGGGATATGCCTGTGTGGGGTTTTCATGTTTGTTTTTTGCTTTTTTTTTTTCTTTTTTCCTTTTCCCTTCTGTATCTGCTATGTTAGTTGAGTTCTGTATGTGATATAAAATGACCCTGGAACTTAGCATTATCTGGGAAACTGTATTCAAATCTGGCCTCTGAAAAGTATGGTGTATATGGTGTATATTAAGCCCTAGCTCTTAGAGCACGAGAATSTGCCTGACCCCATATTGCTGTAGGCAAGTGAAGATTTCCTTGGTAACCAGAAAATAAACTCTTCGTGGCAGAAGTTGCATTTTGACTGTTGCATTTGCTGCACTTGCTAGCTGTGCTGCCCATCTCAAATGGAGCAGCATTTGTGTGTACATTAGCCTCAGTATCTTGTCTTTTTTAATGGGGCCTTTGTGCCAGTGTTCTTGGGCAATCTGACGCCTGTAATATCATCTGAAAAGATGATTTGACAAATCGGAGCACCATCCCTGCAGGCAGGGTACAGGGTACGGGTAGCTGTGGGTGTGTAGTGCAGCGGGCTGCTCTGAGGCACAAGGGCCCTGCTGGAACTGGCCACTATTTCGGACTGAAGAGAGGCTGGGGATTGGGCAACTTGAGTGTTTTTGTAGCTTTCTTTATTGATTTGATAAGAGCACGAAGCAGGTGCACTGAAGCTGGGGCGGGGGGAAGTGATTTTGTCCACTGCATATTTCTGTCAAATTTTTATTCTCTTTAAATCGGTCAAAAAAATGTGTGTATCATTTGTTAGAACTAGTTTCATCTTAACTTACTACTACTACTGACGTTCCAGTTTAGTAGCTTTCCTGATCACGATATGACTCAACGTGGACCTTTACAGAGAGTCAAATGTGCTACATGATTCTGTTTATCATCATGAATAAGATGTATTTTCAGAAAAATAAGAATTTATTATATATTTATATGTTATATATATAATATATAACATATTTATATATAAAATTATAAGATTTTTCTTTTTTTAATTCCCTATTTGAGATTCAGGCACCTCAYACGAAGAAAAATCTTGTCATTGAACACAAGACTACAAAAGTTAATTCATATCTTAAATTTACTAGATTTGTTTTCTAGATAATTAACCGCTATCGGACAAAGAAATTAATGGAGTGTAATTTAAATGAAACCTAGTTTTATTTAGGAGCATTTACCATTGTTTTCATAATTATTTCCCATACAAAGCTTCCTTTTACTGAAAAAAAAAGACTCTTTTCTGCAGTATTTCTGAAAAGATTTGAAGACCTAATGTTGACCTCAAATCTGGAAAGCTTGTTTTTACCATACTGTCTGAATTATTGTAAGATGGTAGAAAACATGGAAGCCAGGAAGCTGTAGTTGGGTCGACTGGATGAATAGTTCAGTCAGCTTGAATTGAGTCTGATGCTGAATAGTTTAAATTCCGTGTGCTCCCTTCTACTTCAAGAGAAGTGAAACTTAGAAGTTCATGTTGCTGCACATGACTCGGTGGTGGAGGAGAAGTTCTACCAGTTCATTTGAGTGTCTTGCAGGTGCAGAGGGTAGATTGTTTGTGCATTTCCACCACATCTGTCTTTTTGCAAGTAATCTCCCAAGGCTCTTCTTGGGGAATATGAAATTAGCACCKTTAAAAGTCTCCCTTTTTCCTAGAGCAACTTTGATGGGCACTATATCAGGACAGACTGAAATGGAATAATATGTGTCAGTAAAAGTTGCTCATCAAACTCAAAACATGAATTGTTGGGAATTTGCATTTAAGTCAAGTTCCTGGTTTTTTGGTTTTTTTTTTTGAATGTTATTATATGTGGTGTACCTTCTAGTAGCTCTACAGCTCTCCTCATCTATAAACTTATGGCCTATGTGGCATTCTTAAGCTTTTTGTGGAGGACTCCTTTTTGGAACCTGGGATAAGGAACAACAGTATTGAGGCAGGTACTGTGCATCTGGATGTCCTGAGGCTATGAAGAAGGTGTGGGTGGATTAAACKCAGGCATAAGTATTATATGTTGTTGATTTTGACCTCGTGGGTAGCTTAGCTATAGCTCTCAGTGTATTCTGCTTGTGATTTCATGCTTGATGAAGAGTTTGCTCGAGTGGTGGGGGGGGAAGTCACTGCCAAAATCAAGCTCAAGGGATGATCCTAAAGCTTATGAAAGGACCAGGGTTTGAGAGAGCTTGGGCATTAGCCAAACATTTTAGTCACTTGGGTTGGGATGGGCAAGAGTCTAGAGCTTGTAAAAAGTTCAGCTTAATTCTTAGTGTCATAATGAGCAATGGAATTAATTGTTTTTATTTTTGAAATAACTTTTTTTTACTTTGATCCATTTCTTGCTATTTCTGATTTTTTKTTTGTTTGTTTCATTGTTTCAGGAGTTTTTTTGAATTGCTGCTGTTCTTTGGAAAGGATGAGTTTTATGAAGATCCTTTGAAAGATATTTTAGGTTCGATTCAGGTAGTGTTGCTTGCTTTCATATATTTTTGACTTTGTTAATATTATTTAAGCACATTAATTTTTTTGGTGAATGTTAAAGTATATAACCTGTATGAAAGAATGCCATTATAGTGAAAATTGCCTTTTGTACAAAAGTACTTAGGATAGTTGAAGATGTTTATTCTTGCRTTCACTGTCTTTCATAGTTAAATATGTCTAGACTAAGTAGAAAGCATTTTACTTGCTTTATAATGCCAGTTTTTATATTAAAGATGTATTTTCCATATAGAAGTGGGAAACTGTTTCACTAATCAGAGATTAGTGTCATCCAGTGCCTTGTACAAGTTTATAGCATGAAACCTGAAGTTTTCCTCTGCTGTTTGAAATTGTAAACTAAATTTCAGTGAAGTGTTGAGATGAGCATAAGCTACCATTTAAAAGTTCTGTACTCTTGCCTAGACACGGGCAGGTTTTTGTGTGGGTAAGTTCAGCTGTTTCAGAGCACTGATCCTGGCTTCAGAAAATTAACCTGTTTCTGCCAGATAAACTTTTCAACGTAGAACAATTTTCTGAATTGATTTCCCTGTGCGGAAACACAAATACTTCTGCCAGCATGAGAAAGGAAGCTTTGTAGTTTGTAAAGAGAATGAAAAGTAGGGTTACTTCTTCTATTAATGCTGATAATGAARCAGCAGTTTGAAAAATAGCCATCTCTTTGTTTATGTTGATATTTGCTTGCCACAGTTGTTTCCAGTTTATATGTCAGCACCACTGATGTGAATTATCAAAAGAGCAGCAATTATATGCTTAAAATTAGAATTAGCTGGAAAATGAGGTCAAGAAGTGACTTCAGTAGCCCTAGGAATAGTATGGGAGCTTGCGTAAACGTTACTGGCTGTCTTGGCAGTCTCAAGGGCTTTTCAGATGTTGTGTGATCCAGACAGAGCCCTTAAGGATGTACAGTACCTGCTTCCCTGCGTTAGTACTGTAACTCAACTGCCTTGCCTTTTCAACAGTGAGTGCATTAAAATATGTCTGTACATGATTTTCTTAATGAGGAGGTTCTGAATCTGTTCTATAACTTAAGTGGTAGTGGAAAGCATTGTTTTAGTTACTTAACCAGCCTTTATTATCAAGTGTACTCATCTGAATATAATGGAAGATTATGAGAAGAAATTGAAGGTAAAAGAATTTACATTCCTTTAAGAAAGGTATCTGAAGCTGTAAGTGATAAGAAGCTATCTTTCAGTTGTGTTTTTTACACAGTCATTTTGGCCCTTTAGGAAAGAACAGATGAAAAGTCCCCCCAAAAAATAAAAAAAGAAAGAAAAGAAAATATTTCAACAACATTTAAAAAACTTAGCTGGCTTTTATTGTGCTGTATAGCATTCTGCTGTTGATTAACACGAATGTTGACTCTTTTGCCATCAGAAAACAATGAAAGAAATCTTGTGATATCTATAAAACTAGATCTGGATTATTTTAAGCAAGCAGTGAAAAATATACATGATTTACTTTATGTACAGCTTTGGATAAAAGTGATTGCCTGAGGCCTGGCGACTCGCACACCCTCCCTTTACAACCCAGGAGAACTTACTCCATCACTGGATCCCAATGCCAAATGTCAGCAGACCTAAATTGGTGCAGACTGGAGTTTGCTTTGCATCGTATAGATGGCATATTGCCAGTCGAGGACGCTTGCGTTCTGACTTCCACATTTGCCTGTTACTGTTTTTGGAGAATGTTAGTTGTTGTTTTTAGGACTTTTTATAGTCCTTATAACAATTCTTAGGTTGAGTTGTTAGAAGAGATATATGTGGGTTTTCCCGTTTAAAGTCTTTTGTTTGAGCTAACATTATTGCTAGATATCTCTGTTTTCTAACTTATTTTTACTACGCTTTGTTCACAGGAATGTCAGAATCTTCTACATAAATACAGAAATATGAACCTGGAGTTAGTAACTCGAATCATCCGAGATGGCGGACCATGGGAAGATCCTGTATTACAAGCAATTCTTAAAGCAAAGCCTGTATCACAGGAATTAGGTATTTCATTTACCTCATTAACTTTTTTTGACTACTGAAAAATAGTCTTTAAATTGTTATGCATATACTGGTGTCRGGTACTGTCATATGGCATTGTTTATTAATATTTTTCCCTATGCTACTAGTCCCTTTTTATTAAAAAGGACACTATTTTTTTTCCTAGCAACTGAAATATACTTTTATAAAATAGCAATAAGTTTAACATGATACAGGAGGCTATTGAGCTATTACTTGCAAAATAAATTGTCTTGTCAAGGTATTTACTACCTGAAAGAGGACACAGAAAGACTTGACTGTGGTTAGTCTGCTGTAGTATCATGGTGAGTGGAGATTCTGATAGGTAGGTAGTCTTGTGGTACTTGGACTCATTTATTTTTTGTTTTTTAATCTAAGYAACTGCATTTGGGGCTTTTATTTTCCTATTCTGTTTAGAATGAGGCCTGTGACTGCACCTGACATTTATTGTTACTATAATATGTGTAATTCCTACATTTTGAAGTAGGAGAAAGGGCTCCCTTAAATTTCTGTTAGGGCGTCAGAGTAAAACATCGTTTTTAACAGTGCATGATAAAAAAAAAAAAAAAAAAAAAACTAACTGGATTTTTTCATGGAAGTTTGTAAATATAAAAATGGCATATATCCAAAATATAGTCGTTGCTCGTGATTCATATTATAGAGAGGTTAGTAATATTCTCAGAGGACTACTTTAAGTTCATCTCCACTTGATAGTCACGGAAGCTACTTTTCCGTTCTCCAGTCAGCATTGTATAATGCATAATTTAAATTTATTACCGTGCTTTTATGGCAAGGTGCTCATGCTACAATGGAAGGAAGACACCTATCAGATCAGGAAAGCTCAATGAGCTACCTGCTTAACAACAGAATGTGGTTTAATAAAGTAAGYGGGGAATCCTTGTCTCTTGTTTTGACTCTCGTGGGGCAATCCCTTGGGCAACATGGTTTGCCTGTGTATTGTACAGATTTTACAAACTTGAGTCAATTATGTATAGAATCATGAATGAAAATAAAGATCATCCTAATCTTGCTCTTCATACTGTTAACTCTAACAAAAGTTTTGGTGGTTATGATCTAAAGCTTGGTCTCAAAAGGGAGCTGAGTTGTAATCCAAAAAGACTAAAGAGAGGATGTTCTGGGAAAGGAAAAAAGTACTTATGACTCAGTAGTAAATATAGTTGTTCTGTTCAGTCTCTGTGTCCCCAGCAAGGATTAAGTTTGGTCCTTTGTGACAATTAACTTCCTTAATCATCATACTATGGATAACAGTTTCAGGTTCTTCACCTAGGCCTATCCTGGCYGAGTAACAGTGAGACTATCTGTAGTCCTTAGATGATCGTTCTATTTCCTTTTGTTGCAGGCAGTATCTCCTTCCCCTCTGCTGAGGTATTCTTCCTCTTTTTATCATCAGATTTCTTTGTCATATCTCATTTGTGATGACAAACATTTTATTATAGATGATATTTTTGGAACCTTTTTTCTCGTCTCTTCCTCTAATGTTTGACTCTTGGGATATCTGACTCGAGCAAATACTCTGTGCTGCTCTATTGGCTCACGGTGTTTGGTATATATTTTAAAACTTGCCCATATTGTTTTCTCAGGAATTCAGTTTTAAATGAAGAAAGCTGCTATTGCTGAATCAGCAGTCATTCCTTGTATAAGTCAGATTGATCTGTGCCACAGGAACTACGTTATCCCTAGGTCAAGACAAAGCTTGTGCTGGGTCTTACATGAATTGTAGCATCTTTTCAGAAGATTGGAAAGGAAGCTAGTCTTCAGTTTGAAAGGAAGCTAGCAGGATTTGATTAATTTTATTGACAGGTAGGAACAATAAGCTTTTATTAGCTTAGGGAGAATACATRCATACTGTGAACTTCAGGGAGAGCTTAATATCTATTACTATTTGCGTTGCAAAGCACTGCACGCTCCACTGCGACTAGAGTAGCTCCTGTTTCCCCCGAGGTGTTTTCAGTATGTGGCAGGTTTCTCTAAGTGCCACTGCAGCTGGGAATTCCCATCTGCTTTGCAGGACTGGAACAGCTCTCTAGTTGGAACTAGTCTCTGTTGGAACAGCCTCTTTGGGAAAGGGTGCTGGGCTGTAGGAGGAGGAGAATCCAGCAGGTTGCTTAGCTGAAACTCAAGGTCTGTTTAAAAATATTTTTGGAGTGCACAGGAGATTGGTTCACTGGGAGGTCATGTTCTCAGACGTGGAGCTTTCGTTGGAGGAGACGAGGGATATGCTGTGACCTAAGAGCTTGTCGCTCCCAGAAGATGAGTACCAGGTCACCAAGTTGAGCAGTGTTCTGAACTGCAGCCTTTCCCCTCTTTCTTTAATGGAAAAGGATGTTAAAGTCAATAGTTACATGTACTGCTTTTTAAACCCCAGCAGGTATGAGAGCTAAATAGTTCTGGCCTAATTTAATAAGGATATCTTATAACCTGTTGGATAGAGACTGCTCATGGAATTGATGATGGTATTTGCGATTCTAAGTATTTTAATTCCGAAAAAACAATAGTGGGGGTTTATTTGCTTTTGAGCTTTGTTCTATGTGATTGCTTTTTCTGGCATTGAAATGGTCACTGTTAAATGTTAGCTTTTCTTTTAGTCTTTACTCTGTTTATATTTGGAAGTGCTAGTAGGTAATGGGAAATGAGAACTTCTCTTATGGGGGGACGGAGTCTGTGTTACAAGATTTTAGATTGTTTTAATGGATGTATCACCTTGAATATTCCCTATTCTCACTTGCACATCAYATTGTTAGCCTTCATAAAAATACAGAAGCACAGAGGCAAATCTTGCTTGGATAGGGAGTGTCTTGCAAACCATGGTTCCTTTTAAAAATAAAAATAAAAACAAGTATATTTTTAAATCAAAAGTAAAGTACACAACCTTTTTATTTCAGAGCAAATTTTACTCTTGGCTGTTCAGACTGTGGTTTTTAGTAACACCATTTTATTTGAGTTCTTGTTATTGTTGCTTTCAGTTGCCTATTACTTTTTTTATATACAGATTCTTAACATATAAACCTCACATGCTTGCTACCAGCCTTAACTGACATTAAATCAAAATCTTTTTTTTGCTTACAAAAAACTTAAACAGTGCTGCAGTGTACACGCTAAAACACTTTTGGGTTGTTTCTGTCTTAAAGTGGCTATTATATGCAGACAATCAGGCCATATTGYCCAGTGCATATTAGTACTCACACCTTAGTGTGTGCATTTACTTGACAGGATGCAAATAACTTTCAAAATATAAACATCTTCCTGAAATTTAGTAGCCTTGAGTGATATTACAGCCACTACAGACAGAATCTCTATCTTTTTTTTCAACTAGGGAGCTAAAGCATGTCATCATCTACATATTTCTTATTTCCTAGTTCCATAAGTACTGCTAAGTATTTTATGAAGAGCTGTCTTTCAGCTGCAACAATCTCAGAGAATTTCTAGCTCTATTAGAACTGTTAGATCTGAAAAGCAGAATCTGCTTTTTTTTTTTTTTTTTTTTTTTTTTTTTTTTTTGAAAAGCAGAGGGGCTAGAATTTAAAGGTCTTTAGGCATTTAAGATTTAGAAATTTGTACAGTAGGATTTTGGAGCATTGATGGGGAGGAGGGGCCCCTTTCTACTTATCCAAGCAAAATCAAGGTATTCAGTGCTACTTAGCTACAAATCACAAGCTGTTGTTTTAACTTCTCCAAAGTTAAAACTTCTCCAAAGCTGTTGTTTTAACTTCTCCAAATTCTTCCCATCAAGTGGGAGTATCCTGAGCTGTTTTGAACGTTAGCAGCTGTAGTATTGGAAGTGATGTATGTCCTGTGCTTCACACAATCAGCCAGGCTCCAGTGCTGAGGAAGGATGGAACTTGATTTCTGGAGATATTTCAAATGTGCTTCTAAATAGTATTTATTTTACTAATTGCTTGCAGCATCATGTGTTGATCTGTTAGAAAGAAAATACTGAATTAGTTAGATCACTGGTGTAAGAAAAATAAGAATTTCTGTTTCCAAGTAGACAGACAAATTCTTGATTGATGGTATTTACTTAAATATTTGATAGTGTCTTTGGCAGAGCCTTTTGTTTTATATATAGATATATATATTTGCTGACATTGAACTATAAAAACAACATTAAATTTAAGCATATTTGTTGTTTAGACTTCATATTCTAATTGCCTTTAAATCTTTCTTTTCTGTGCAGTTAACAAATATTTAAGCTCTGAAAATCCACTGTTCTTTGAACTACGTGCCAGATACCTTATTGCCTGTGAACGCATCCCTGAGGCAATGGCTCTTATCAAATCTTGCATAAATCATCCAGATATCAGTAAAGATCTGTATTTCCATCAAGCTCTTTTCACCTGTCTTTATATGTCACCATTAGAAGATCAGCTATTCCAGGAGGTATTGTKTGTTAGTATATATATTTTTTTATGAAGTGATACTTACTGTATACAAATGGTCAAGGAGAGCATATGGAACTCTTTGTAGCACAGTGTCATAAAATCAGGAAAGTAGACTGCTATTGCTTAACTCAGTGATCGCTTAAGCTTTGGAAAGATAAATGTAAGTACAAATTTTGTTGACCTAAATGCATTTTTTGGTCATGTTTGCCTGTGAGTATATTCCCTAAGTAACTTTAGTCACTGATACTTTGTAACTTTAGTGTAATGATGATTACTTTATGAWGGGGCTAGCAAAAGCACTTAAACATATTTGATGTCACTCTAGTGTTTTGTACATTATTTCRTCTTGTTAGCCTTGAGCGAAGATGCTTTAATTTTGCCCCAATATGTAAAATGACCTCCTATTACTAAATGTGATCCTACTTTTACCACTGCTAGTACTTACTGTAAAACAGTACTATTCTTACCTTTGTTTTAAAAACAGGTTACTTTTTTTTATAAAAAAGGCTTTTGTGTATACTTACTGTTTAGTATCTCAGACAACTATGACGATTGTCGTTACTTTAAAAATAGCAAAAAGCTCCTGATCTATCAAAGTATCTGTTTATAGATGTACGCAAAAGTATCAAAGCAAATTCTGTTATTGGCAATTTAAAAACTTYTCAGTGTTTTTTTTAATATAGCAATGTTTGATAGGTTTTTATTTCATGTTAGCAAATTCATCTAAGTTGATTTTATTTCAATTGTATAGCACTTGTTGAGGACTGATTGCAAGAGTGGAATTGAGATCATCTGCAACACTGAAAAAGAAGGGAAGACTACCTTAGCCTTACAGCTATGTGAATCGTTCCTAGTCCCACAGCTCCAAAATGGGGACATGTATTGTATATGGTAAATACTTCATTTCTGGTGATGCAGCTTAGCAGATAATAAATGCATACTACTAAGAAGATAGTAATCTTAACTTGGAGATGAAGGTGAACTTTGAAGTACCAGATAAAAACTTTCTAACATGACATTTAAATGTTCTTAATACGTCTGTTATACCTACTGCCTTGTAAACAATCCTGTAGCGGCAACCTACATAGAACTTAGTTGTTTCAAACAGAAGACCAAGTCTTTAGATACATTAGGCAGTAAATGCCTATAAATATAGCAATTATTAATAGCAGAGTGTAATAACAGTAAGCTGCCTGTAGACTCTTAGGCATTGCAGATATTTGCTGTCCAGCTAGATGACTGTGCTCATAACAACCAAGCTATGTCATGTTAGAAATGTCTAGAAAGAGAATTTGTTTATGAATATGTGCTACGAATAATGCAAGTTATTACTTGATAAATAGAGCCACCAGGTAAATGGTATCTCTTTAGAGAAGTTTTAAATGAAACTCTGTATACACAAAATGAAAATGGTTAGTTAGACTCCTCTGTAAAGAGTTCTTAGAGCAAGCTTCATTCTGAGATCTGAAAGATGTCAAGAGMAGGGTTAGCTTCCTTGGACAAAACTTCTATACCTAAAATAATGTATACCTGCCATGATAAAGTATGTTTAATTGGTCTCATTATGTAGTTGAGGCAAAAAGGCTCTGTTGGAAAAGTGTGGGTGGGGTTTGTTTTTTTTTTTTTTTTTGAGATCACATTATCGATCTGCTTAGTTATAAAACTTCAGTATGGTATCTAGAAAGCTTTTCCCTCTTCCCCAGTTGCAGGAAACTGAAAAGAAAGATATCCTCCCTCTTTTTTTAATTAAGAAGTAAGGAAGGTCAGACACAAAGTTTGGTTTCCTCTAATAAAATTAACTTTTAGGTGAGTAATTGAGTTTTTGTTGAATGAAAATCATCGGAAATCTCGTTTTAAAATTTATAGTACAGCATATTGGCAATACCAATTTTGTAGCATTTTTCACCCCTAAATTGCTCAGAAGGTGGCCCTGACTCTGCCCACAACGAGCAAAGTGAAGAAGCACAACTGAAAAGGTCCATGGCTTGTGTGAGTGCCACGGACCAACTTCAGACTGGAATGAAGCTCTGCTGATTACTCCCCAAATGCTGTTATCGCTTGAGTTCTTATCTAGCAAGAAATTTTCAGATGTAGCCCACAAAAATCAATTATATGAATAGTTCTTTCTGCTCCAGGGTCAGAGTCTTTTAAGGAATGCATTTGAAGTTTGTGTTTTATGCCTTTTGCAGTGGTAGGGTGCTTGTTAGCCTTTATCAGCAGCCCAGCAGCAAGGTTAAGTTCTGTGTTGTTATTTTTGCTAAAATTGCTAAAAACAAGATGTCTGTCCTAATAATCTGGCAGAATGGACAGTGAAATTGCTGATGTGTTTATCACCTTGTTAGTTATCTCTTCACCGCAGAAGCATTTTTTAATATTTAAACCTCTGTTCAGAAAACAAAACTTGAGGATCCCCTCCCATTCCCTTGGGATRAATGTAGGAGGGGTTGTTATGTTTTGTTTCTTGTTTTATTTGGTGCTATGCACAGCAAAAGTCATGTGGCCTTGTTGAGAACTGAGGATCTTGCAAACCTAGCAGAGATTTGCTAAGTCAAGATCTACTAACCAAGGTACCGGATCTATTAGGAAGCTGCAAATAGTAGATAGTTGYTATCTGTTCATGGGAAGTAGATCTTTGAACTGGAACCATTGCTTCTCATGTTATATTAGCAAAAGATGGACTTTGAGCAGCTCTGTTCTAAAGCTATTTTTGTTGGTTTGAAGAATAAACYCTAGATTCAAATTATACCAATTATTACTGTTTTTCTGAAATGAAAACTCCTCAYAAGAAAGCTGCCTCAAAAATAAGTTTTTAGTCTTGCTGAAAATACTGTGTGTATATATAAATAYGGGTGTGCAAGGTATTGATAGGAAACAAGTCTGTGAGAGTAATGATTTTAGTGCTTTGGTCATCTCCCTTCAGAAGGCCGAGAAAAATTTTTATGGAATAGACTTAGCAGAATAATTTGCCTTCCACGACAGGCAGTCGTTGTTGGAAGCACACAGTATTGTAGTTTTGGAATGAGGGGAGGGCAGCTAAAAGGCTGAAATACCTGGTTGCCTGTGGTGAAGTACCCAATTCTCTGTCTTACCCTTGCCAATATAAATTGCCTTTGAACTGTCAGTAGTAGTTGAAGCAGAGAGCTGAGTACGAACTCGGGTGTTTTATCAAGGAATTTGGGAGAATGTCATGGAGCACCACAACTCAATATCATACTATGCTAGCAAATAGCAAGCTACTCCTGGCTGTGTCATCTCAAAGTGTCTCTTTTGTGGTCAGTGATACACAGATGTCCCAAATGCAATTGTCTTCAAAGGTAATTAAAATACCAACTTTAATCTGAAGCATGTAAATGTTTAAAATGGGATTTAATGAGGTCTTAGAGAATGCTTTAGCCCACTAATTATTCCCAATCAAAAACCTTCCTGAGAAGGAGAAGCCTCTGTGGCTACTTGGAGAAATAAGACCAAAATGTTTCACTTCAGGGTCCAGTGAACAGTGGTTAACTGGTTTAATGGTTTGCTCTTCAGCTATGGAGCTGTTCCTTCTCCTTTCAGTTTTCTCCATTCTCTCTTCTGCAATTTTCTTGTGCCAGCCTTCGCACTTGTCTGAACACGTGGTAAGCCACTGAGCTGCCAATCCATCAGGAAAATAATTGGAGTTTTCTCTGGAATTAGCATTGAAGCAGTTTTCTCTGAAGCAGTATGTGACAAAGCAGAATAAAAGAAAGAGCATTATCTACTATTCCGCTCAATAGCAGCATGCAGTGAGTCCACATTAGCTGTRTTATTTATCAGCATTCTAAGCAAAAACTATTCTTTCTTTCATACTTAAGGCTGAAAATTGTATCAAATATTTATGAAGGTTAAATGAATGGGTATGTGGAGACACTAGTTAGTTTCAAACTTCCACCTGAAGTTTGCAAAGAGCCTTCAGCCTGGTAAAAGTGAGATGGATAGCTAGCATCTCTAGAAACCTGCAGGACTAGCCTTCTGTGTGYAGCATGGCTGCAGAGCTTCCCTTCTTGACTGTCTGCCTGTTTTAGCCAGAGACTTTCTTCTTATTTTGGTTCTCTTGGATCTTGATTTTTTTTTCTTTCACTCAAAATCTCATGTCTGGCCCAATTAGCCCTTATAGAGCTGGCCTGAATTTAAAAGTGAAATTGCGTGTTGTGTTCACAGTCAGTTTTATCACTTCTCTTAATCCAGACATCAACATGACGAGGCAAGTTTAGTCACAAGAAGTTTGTCTGATTTGTACCTGGCACTCACTAGAGATTTTGGAAGATTAACCAAATATTTYGTCAGTAACTGGGTTGGGTTTCCTGAGGGAGGAGACTGTTGGAAGAAGAAGGATACATCTTGAGGAGGGGAGTCTGGGTAGGCTCCTGTTTGCCTTGGTTTCTTGTGGTGGGATTTCAGCCTCATCTTGGGCGTACTTGCACTTTTGAGTGAAGTCTTTTGATGTGGCATCAAGTCTTGAAGTTGTTTTAAATAAATAAAGGTCTGGTTACTTCGCAGTGCCTCTGAGTTGAAAAGTAAAAAGCTTTTTTTTACAGACTGTGGACTTCTCTCCACCCTATTTTGTAGACTAAAAGCATAGTTTGTGTACAAGGCGCTCTTCTGCGGGAAGCAGTAATCCATTCTTCTCTTAGGCTTCCTTGCATTGCTCAGAAATGTTATTTGGTCATAGAGCTGTGTGAATGTTTAGCAGTAGGGGCTCATAGTTTCTCATAACTGCTGGGACTAGAAAGGTCAGTGATAACAGGATATATAACCAGAAGACAGCAATATTTCCTATTGATAGAACATTTTAGACACTAATTTCCTACTGTGCTTTGGTTTTCCAAGTTCAGAGAATTTTCTTCATCATGGCAGTAAAAGGAATTTAATCACAAAATAATCTGGAGTGCACACAGCACTTGTGTCTTCAGCCTGCCATTTATTGCACACAGTGTTAAGGACTAGGCGCTCTAGCATTTGTTTTTGTTAGGCCATTCTCTGATACTAAACCAAGCCATTAATATTCAGTTGCATATTTAATAGGTTCAGTGATAGGAGATACCCTGAATGCTTATGTTACGTTTTCCGTCGTGTACGGTGTTGGTGTTAATTAGGCTGATATTAATCACACAGCAAAAGTAAGACTTTTGTTATAGAAAATGCAAATGATTGTTTGTGGGATTGCATCTTACTCAGCAATAGAATTCTTTAAAACTCAGCCTAATCAACATATTTTGTTCTGCCCTTATAGGGACCTGATCTTCATTTGGAGTAAATTGCAGCTTAAATCTAACCCATCAAAACAAGTATTCGTTGACCAGTGCTACCAGCTTTTAAGAATTGCTACAAATATCAGAGTAATTTTCCCTTTCATGAAAGTCATTAAGGATGAAGTAAGTTTTGGGGTTTTTTTTTTTTGTTTTTACCTTCTCTTCAGTTTTACTACTAATAAAAAGAAGTCACCGTTATATTGTACAGCGGCTGGTTTTTGTGGAGAGTAAAGAAGAGACAGGGAAGAATGCACAAGCTGAGATTTTGTCACGTTCCAGAGTGAGCTTCCGTGTTAGGACTGTCCTGTTCTCTTGTGCATAAGTTTTTCTTTCTGTCTCTTGCAGTATATTTGAGTGTGCCATTCCGTATGGAGAAATCGATAGTAAATGCATGATGTAAATGTGGAAGTTAACTGCTGTTTTTAGGCTGTTTTTTTTTTTAAAAAAAACTAGTGTAATGCCATTGCATCTGCCTTTATACCTTGTTAAATTCTGAACTCTTTGACCAAATCAAATGTGAAAATGTGCATATCATGACATAAAGGAAGCAAGAGTTAAACACCATTTTGCTTTGAATTATGCATGTCTAACCTGCTACAATCCTATAAAAATTACACAAATTGCAGGAAATCAGTGTACTGTGCGGTGCTTCACACTCAGCAGGAGTGTTTTCTCAAAGCAAATGTTGCTTTTCATCATTAACCTGAGCAGAGCTCTTCATATTCTGTGCCCTAAGTGTTTGAGGAGTGTGCTAACTTCTGTGTGAATCAATAAATCTACTTCATCAAAAGTGCTGCTGTACATTTATACGTAAATGCATCAATTGCTGCTGTTCAGAATTATGGTCTTAGTATGTACTCTGAAATACCCTGATGACATGAGTAATTTGATGTAGTAGCTTTTAGTTTARCTTTGATTTCTACTTGTGTCTGGTAATCTTTAGTAGCCTGTTAAATGTAACATTTTATGTGTATGCATATTTGTTAACACATACTAAAATGCATTGAAACGGTATTAATCATGGTTAAACTTTCCTGTAACTTACTGTACTTTAAGCAGTGATACTGCCATTTGGGCAGTATGGCAATTCCTTCCAATCATAAGTTTCATATTTGAGCCCTCAGCCTAAACTATAGAAAGGGAATTCTGCTCATTGGGAAGATAAATTGTCAGTGTGGAGAAGTCTGGAGTCATAGAGTGCTTGGCTGTGGTTTGTTACATATTCCTTAATGGTCATTATGAAAAATTCAGGATGAAATTCATTCGTTCAGCATGAAATGTTCAACTTATCGTTTGCATTTTTTCTGTAATGCAAGATAAATGAAATAGAACAGGGACAAAATTGAGAGTAACTGTCCAATTATAGTGAAACAGAGTAGTTAATTGGGAGGCAGACAGAAGATAATGCTGGATCAAATAGTAGTAGCTGCTGTTTTGTTTTGTAAGCCCTAAGGCATCCCCAAATAATTGTCTTTACAGAACTAGCCATGTTAAAAATGCCTAACTTTGACAGCTGCGCAATCTTAAATGTTATTCATGGGTATTTCCTTATCTCTATTTTATGGCCTTGTTTTCCTTTTTTTTAAAAATGCATATTTTTGGTCTTGGAGGTTTACTTTTTAAGGGTTTTTCTGTAACTAGCAGGAAATCTTCTGATCTTATAGGTATTTTGCAAGGCATTGAATATAGATACATAGAATGTTGACATTTGAGCTCTGTTTCTATTATTTTGTTGTTGTTTCTGCCTTTTCAAGCTTTAGACTGCACAAGCCCATAAGGAAGATAACATTATGCAATACTATGTCCTGTGCTTTCCTTTTGGCAGGTTGGTGAAGATGGTCTTCAGATATGCGTTGAGATATGTGGATGTGCCCTGCAACTGGACCTCCGTGAAGATCCCAACATGAAAAGTCTCATATATAAAACGATAGCTCATTTTTTGCCAAATGACTTGGAGATCCTCAGAATTTGTGCACTTTCGATCTTTTTTCTGGAGCGCACTCTGGAATCATACTACACTGTTGAACATTTGTATAAATGTGCAGATGAGGAGTACAATGAGTGCACTAGTTCAGTTCAAAACCGTGTGCGTTTTGAATTGCTTCCAATTTTAAAAAAAGGTCTGTTTTTTGATCCTGAGTTTTGGAATTTCTTGATGATCAAGCAGAATTGCTTAGCCTTATTGGGGGATAAAGCCTTTGTTGGTTTAAGTGAAAGTACACTGGAAAACTCTACTACAAATGCAGAGAAGATGACAGAGTACAGGGCTTTAAGTGAAGAGCACGTTGGCTTAACGGATGTAAGYAATGGGGAGCTTGACACTGAAGACTTGTCTGAAGCCCAGTCCAAAGGTAATGCCAAGAAGAACCATGAAGCTCTGGAAGCATCTAAAATGTTAGATCATACTGTACCGAAGCACCGCTGTGTGATATGCAACAAGGAGTTCCTTGGTGGACACATTGTGAGACATGCACAAGCTCACCAGAAAAAGGGCAGTTTTTCCTGTGTACTTTGCAGCAGAAAGTTCAGACAACGAGGACTTATGCTGAAGCACTTAAAAAATCATGTCAGGAAGATAGAAAGACAACATCTTGCAGCAATTCATGAGGACAGACAAGAGACTCCAGCCCTTACTGAGCAAGAATGCTCTGAGGTTTCAGTCTCTCTTGAAAATGGTAATTCTGATGGTTCTAAAGATAAGGAACCAGTGGCTGCAATCGTTCCAAGTGCTAATATGGAAGAAGAGAACACCAAACAGGTAGTTGACGTGGTAGAAAATCATCTAAGTGACCAGGATGATGCTACTGAAAACAGCAGTTGTGATAGCTGTTTTAATAACATCTCTGATGCTTTAAATACGGAAAACTTGCCAGAAGACGATGAAAGCTCCAGTAAAGAGTCGCCAGTCCTTCATAAAGTAAACGGAGCTTTTGGCCCTCAGAAAGATGGGGACGCTATGGATGAAGAAGGAAGCTTCAAGTGCCCTGCTAGTGGTTGTGCCAGGGTGTTTAAAAAGATACGATTCCTCAATAAACATGCAAGAAAAGCTCATCCAACTGATTTGAAGGTGCAGCAACATATAATGAAATGGAATAAAGGAAAATGTCGCTTCTGTCAGAGGAAATTTGCTGATTCCCAACACTTTATAGACCACCTGAAGAGACATGTGTATCCGAATGTTTACTTYTGTTTACACTTTAATTGTAATCAGAGATTTAAGCTGTCAACTGAGCTGGCAGAACATACAAAAAGTCATAATGTTTTTAAAGCTCAGTGCAATTTTGCAGAGTGTTGTGAGCTGTTTGAAGAGCTCCCTTTACTATATGCACATGAGGCTCAGCATTATTTAAATAAAACACCAGAAGGCTCAGAAGATGCAAGTGAAAAAGATTCTTCAGATGAGTCTTCAGAACCCCTTTGTAGCTACCAAGAAAGTGATGCATCTGTTAATGAAACAGAAACTGTAGATTTACCAATTCCAACTTGGAAGTCACGGAAGGATTCTACAGAACCAAAGACTTACATTCAAAGTGTTGAGAAGAAAGCAAATAACGTAATTCAGAATGGAAATGAAAGCTCGTCTGAGAGTAGCGCTACAGTTTTAAACTCCGTAGACCAAAAGACACCTGTGTTACAGCCAAATTCTGAAAACTGTAGTGGTGTTAGTGACCAATTAGTCAACGGGCACAGTGACATGGAGCAAACGTCATCAAAGTCATCAGGTACAACTTTGGACAGAGTGGCAGATGAAACAAGGACAGAAAATGGGTCAGTGTTACCAGTTTTACAGAACTGCCATGATACACCCCAAAACACTGTTGCTGCCTCGCAGTTACCTTCTAAACCAAATCAGACAACAGAGCATACTTCCTATGGTGTCATCTTAACAAAACCTTACGTTAGACCGTTGCCTCCAAGTTACCTTGATGAACGTTACATTAGCATGCCAAAACGTAGAAAACTTTTGACTGATAAAGCAGACCCTCATTCTGAGCAAGATAAAGTTTGTAGCAAATCATCAGAAAGATTAAGATGTGGCAACTGCTTGACCATCTACTGTAACTCGGAAGCACTTGAGGCTCACATTGCACAAAAGAAGTGTCAGACGCTCTTTGGATTTGATTCAGATGATGAAAGTAAGTCTTATGGTTCTTCTGGGTGTGTTTCTTTAGATTAAACACCAAAATGGCTCTCCAAACAGGCAGCCTGGTGGAACAGATGTGACATAACTCCTGAGCAGCCATAGTATGTCAGATATTTAAAAGGAGGAAGGTCATGAAGTCATCAGGGACCTGAACGTTGGGACACAGTATTGCAGTAAATTGGAAGTTCTGTTTAGTCTTGCTTTCTCTTTAGAATAAGAAAGAGGTGGTGGAAAAATAGGTAGGCAGCTCTAATGGAAAAGAATTTTTATGAAGCAGATTGTAATAATTCTTTCCTTGCATATTTGAAATTGGTAAAATTGGTTGAAAAATATAGACTATATTYCAGTTAAGAGACAGGGGTAGGGGAGGAAGAGGGTGATAATATGCTAAGTATTTGCTGCAGAGACTTGCTACTAAACGTATCCTTGGAGCTGGGAGATGGCCTGGGGCTCCAGCTGTCTCATGCAGCACCCCTGTATTGCCATGCAACGTGAACCAGCAACTGCAGGTGACAGGCCTAACAGCAACACTGCTTTTTCTTTTGGATAAGTATCTGGGATGTGCTGAGAGAAGGAAAGCCTTTGCCCTGAGGAATGTCAAGGCACGGGCATCGCTTGTCTCTTCTTAAAACCCACCTGCAACTTCTCCCCATTCACACTCCAAATTAGAGAAAATTTTGCACAAAGAAAATAATGTGTTGCTGCAAAAGGTACTTGGTGTTGACGGCTAGTGAGAGATGTCCCTTATCATTTTTGTCTGTGGAAGGAGTTTGTCCTAGCTGTTCCACCTCTCCACTCTTTACACATGTCCAGTTGTTTTGCTGTGTATGCTAAGAAATCTCATAGTGCATTAGTGAAAGACTGGGGAAGACACGTTCAAGAAACGTGTAGATGAGGCACCTAGGGACATGGGTTAGCARGCAGGGTGTTGAAGGGCTTATGGCTGACCCCGTCTTGAAGGTCTCTTCCAACCATTATGATTCTATGAATGAATAACAAACATATTCTGTTTTACAGGTGCCTGATCACATGTTGTGGGAAAATGTCACATGAAGAGTGGTGTACGCAAACACTACATGAAGAAGCATCAGTTTTTCCCAGTTGGCCTTAATCATGAAGCAGTCCCAAATTACTAAAGAGAAACACGACCTTGATAAAGACAAAGCACATTTTCTAGATAGAGCTCACAGAGGAATAACAGGACCTGTGCAGGTTTTGAGTCCAGAAAGGTTGCTACAAAATCCCCAAAGTACCAGTAATCCCAAAAGCCATGTGAATTTTAAGGGTGTGATTGAAGCTTAGCGGCACAGTCTTTTTTAACATGAAAGTTTAAGGAAAATAATGCACTCAGTTGAGCAGACAGAGAGCATCTATGGTAATTGCCTTATGGGAAGAAAACAGCTAATACTTTAAGCTGCTTTAATGAGAAAACAGTTTTTATTTGTGGTTTAACARTTTTTCATTGTGGCTTAAATCATCACAGTATTTATGATGCAAGGCATGTATAGAGGAACCAGGCATTCTTTTTTTTCAGTATTTGAATATGTGATTCCATTTTCTGAAAAAAAGAAAAAGGCACTCCTTAAATACATTCGTACTGAGAAACCAGGAAGAGAAATATAGAGACACATCTAAGAAAGAGAATGCAGCTCTAATAGCCAAAATGTACAAATTATGCAAGACCAAGTGTCTTGGTAGGATACTGTGTGTAAGCTATGCACAGTAGAAATTTGATGCATACAAAAGAAGTCCTTTTGAAAGCTATGGTAAAAATACATATCAAGACTGTTGCAAAGTGTCATGTAGAACCATCTGTTTTAGGTGCAGGAAGACCAATGCAAGTACATTGCACAAGTTGTGTGGATATTAACAGAAGCAGACTGAAGCAAATGCAAATCATGAAGAGGGGCAGAGTTGAGCTAATACCGTGAAACAGAGGGAGGGCTTTCAGCAGTTTGTGTGACCAAATAGAATTTGAAAAACAGCTTTGTGGAGAAGTGGAGGGGTGAAAATCTTAATGAAGACAGACAAAAGCAGTGCACATATTGAATTAGAAATACCAGTTTGGAAGGACAGGCTGTTTCACCCATGTGATATTGCTTAGGGGTGGTGGATCACAACTCCATGCTGTAAGTAATTACCTTCAGTATAAAGGAAGGAGAAAACACGCCACAGTTCAGCCTTAAGAAGTATTACAACCTTATGTAGTATCATCTCTTGAAAAGGTAGTCCCTGACAGGACTTAAGTGCTAAGCATTTTATCCAACAAGTTGGCTGTGGATAAAAAGAAATAGAGTTTGGGGAGATAAGAAATTCCAGTCTGTTACTTCTGTATATCACATTAAAAGACAAGATGTCAAGAAGCTGTTGTAGTTTTTGGTCTTCTGATTCTAAATAGAAGTGTGGCAAGTAAACATTGTCTATTTGCTGTGCTCATTTACCCTCTTAATAACTATATTATACTGTCCGTGCAGCTTAAATGTTGGGTCCTGCTCTCTGCCATTAGCTGAAAGTGTTAATGCGCTCACAGGTGCAGGAGGTATAATTGTGAAAAATAACATGTACAGATGGAGTCATCACAGAAATCTAGGACAGCAAAGACCAACTGTTCCTTCTTACTGAGTAGTCCATGATATTGTGTGTACGATACAGTAAGATTATCTTTAAGAACTTGCTTAAATTGACAGATAGGTTAAAGTAAAATCAAGAGGTACACACAAGATCTGCTCGTTGTAGCACTGATTCACACTTGCAAACCTAAGGATTTCATTGTAAAATAGGCTGTTAACTATTTCTGGAACTTAAACATAGTAGCTCAGTAATGCCTCTGCTAATAATCCTCTGTGAAATCAAACAGATACTTGCATTAATTCTGCTTCCTTTTCCCCTCGTAGGAGGTAAAAGAACACACTTTGAAAATTGTACTTTTTTGAATTCTAAAAACAAAATGCCTTAACTTTGAGTTGGCTTAAAGTAAAAGGTTATAAAATTATGATCACAGGTATGTGTGCATTACATTAATATCAACGACTGACCCACTTTGAAAGATCTGTATGACATTTGAGGCACCAAAGAATTTTCTTTTTGCAGTTGCAAAAAAATTTAAACGCAACATTGATATATACATATATACACACATATATTTACATATATAAATACATTAAAAGTTGCTTTAACGTGAAATTAAGGGGGACCTTATCAGCCAAATGCACTTTCACTTTAGATTTTTTTTGCTTTGAAGTTATCAACTMATTTTTGAGGACTCAATTATTATTTTCACTGCCCTAGGCTCCCCTTTCTTTGCTTAACATTGTTAMTCTAATTAAATTTGCTTAAATACATTTGGGAAAAGAATAAAGGTTAATTTTAAAGTATCGCGTTTTTAAAAATCTAAAACCTTGGTCAGTAGATATGACAAAAATGTTTGTGTAAAATTTTTTAAGTGTACTTTTCATCTTTGGTGCTTTTTTGCCTTTCCCTGGAGCTCCATGTGTTTGAAGATGCTTTAAAACATGATTGAAACTTGTATTTTCCTTGGTTTAAAATGTATAGATAAATGCATCTATGTACATGCATAAACTGTGACCATAATTTTTTGTACCTGCATTAAACTCACTTTTGTTCAAAGATGCTTTCCTTGGACACCACCATTTGTTTATACCACGTGTTCTGTATACGTATGCTGGAGAACTGAAAGGAAGGAAAAAAAAAAAAAAGAATTCTCGTGTAGGTGAACACTAGTTATCACCTAAAGGACACCAGAAATATTCTCAATTGACTTGAAGTAGGAGGTGGGTGATGACATGTTTATTTTAAGTAATGAGTTAAGTCAGAATGAACTTGAGTAACTAAGTTTCAGAGACTTTAGTTGTTTTTATTTTTTAACATTGTTCTCTGATAGCTGTTGCTATGCTCAGTTAGCTGCAGTATTAAGCGGCTTGTGTTAGGAGGAAAAGGATGCTTCTGGTATGTGTGGGATAATTCTACATGCTTTTTTAGGATTCTCTCGTATGTAGGATATTATCCTATACTGAGTCTGCAACTTTTAGGGCTGGAGAAGGTTCCAAATCTAGAATGGAAAGTGGTTTTTTTTTTCCACAGGCATTACAGATTGCATGGTGCAATTGGAAAGACTTCATCAGGATATATAGCTTTGATTCAATGAATGCTGAAATGCATGTGTACTGCAAGCATGCAAATTTGGTAAAGTTGCCTAAAGTAATACATGAACTTTGGAGCTTTGTTGGATCAAAGTTTGTGCATTTCATGCTGATAATCATATTTTAATCATGTTGCCTCCAGGTGGGATATAACTTGCATTTAGACTTTGCTTTTAAGATTGTCTACTCTAACCTGATCATGGTTCACTGTAAAGGTCATGTAAGTTAAAATATTCAAAGAGCTGCCGCTTGGTGGGCACCTTTTAATGGAGAGGGGAAAAGAAAATCAAAAGTAGGTGGAAAATGGTCTTATCTGTGGGGAAAGGTCACTGGTACTTTGGTTTTTTTAGCCATACTCATTAAAACATAAATTGTATAGTTTGGATAATTTATAACATTAAACTTTGTGATTTTAATATCACATTGAAGGTTCAGCTGTACTCATTTCTTTTGTTGTTTAACACCAGTGGTATGGATGAAAGACTCAACAGGGTGGTAGTGTTATTTTTTCTTAATTTATTTGGTACTGTATAACACCTTTCTGATTAAATGCAGTGTATGCATTTTGGGACTCTGTTAATTTTGTAAAAGCTGTTACAGGTTCAGCAAGAAAGGAAATTTGTGCTTCCTTGTTGAATGTTAAATTATTTTACTTTGCATTTTATATAAGAGTACAAATTAAAACTGAGCCATCAAACTGCAATAAATCAACAGTAGTGTTTCATTTTGAAAACCTTTTGTACTGTACATAGATTTGTTCAATAAAACATTGTCTTTGTTGTTAATAGAAACTGATCTTGTCTTTTGGGGGATCACTCTGAAATACTGCTGCAGTGTACTCATAGTAATCAGTTAAGCTGGGGCTTAACTGGGACTGTGTTGCGTAGCACCTGTGTAAAGCTGGCAGTCAGTTCCGGATGTTCCGTGTCTCTGGATATCTGGATTTCAAGAGACCAGATCTCTCCAAGACTCTCCACAATTCCCAAGGAAATTAAAATAGACCTCCTGTATGTTTTGTCTTTCTAGACGTTAATCAACCACCGTAGTAAATTTAGGACCTCTTAATTACTATTTATTTCAGTAAGTCCTCAGGAAGTCATGGTATTATTGCAAATTATTTAAAAACAGTTAAGTCTTGGAAAAAGAAGTACATGTGTATGTCAAGGAGTTCCCCTGGGAACCAGACTTCTCAACTACTATGTATGCATAAGTAATTTAAAGCATCCAGCCTGTGATAAAGGCAAACACACACACGCACACACAGAAAAAGTAAAATAGCATGACAAAATGGGATTTTGTTTTGTAATTAGGTTTTCAGGGGATGTGTAGACCTTGAAAACTACAGACCTGGTCAGAAGAGGGAGTTAATGTACTGTTTTCTAAATTTTCAATACCGTGGAAAAGAATGACATAAAGCTAGCGTGCCGGAGATGGACATAAGTCGGGTTGGAAGGAGCGTATTGAGGATTGCAAAGGCCGGTTGTATGTGGTGATCAAAGAAGCGTGCCAATTCATTTTTGTTTTAATGGTTTGCCATGATATTTACCCCTGGTGGGCAGTGGTTTGCAAATGCTGTGGGTTAACCACCTTGCAGGCTGCTGCGGGGGGCTTCAAACAGAAACACAGGAGCATGAGCTGGTCTGGAGGTAGGAGCTCTGTGATCTTGCCGTGCACGCCCCGTCTTCCTCCATCGTGCAGCCGCCGGGTTCTTCGGTGGCCCCGTGTTACAGGTAACAGCTTTGTGCTTCAACCRCATATGAAGATTAAGTAGTGCTAAGATAGAAAGCTGAGCCACAGTTGTTTTGGTTTTATAAGCTTCATTTCTGTTAAAAGTTCATTTCTGATAATACTGCTAAAAAAGTCTAGTATTGCTAATGCAGTGTCAGACTTATGATAAACTTTTCATTGCTTTTTACTTCTTTTTAGTTACTTATTTTTGCATTGTGTAATCCCAAGATTAAGGCTAATTAACTAATTAAGGATAATTAACAAAAAGCTTAATACTGTCATCTGAAAGTGTTGGATTATTACATTTGTTATTTATAGTTCTGTAAATTCTGAAATGTTCTCATCTTGCTTTATAACTGTGGTAAAATTCTGAATGGTGATTCCTACATTACTTAAAATGTCAGATTTATCTTTCGTGTAATTCTGACAAGGTCTTTGACTAAAAACATTACTAAGCTTGGGCGTAGGGAAAACGGGTCTCATCTCTGGTACTGTGGCATATGCACATAGGCAAAATGAATATCAAATTTACAATGTATGCACAAGTCACTTCATAAATTTATTACAAAATATATTAACATACCATATGTGATTTTTGTTTGTTTTGGTTTTCCCACCTTTTTTTTTTTTTTTAAATTCCCTGCACATAGTAACATCTCTGGCAGAAGTAAAACACTTTTCAATAGAACAATATCCTGAACTGATAGCCCAATGCAGTCTTCCAAACGTTCTTGCCAGTGGGTAACTATGGATGGTAAATGGAACAAGGAAAGACTTGATGGGAAAATAATGCCCTTTGGGTTTGGGAGGTAAATGAATCTCCTAATGATGAGGATAGAAATGCTCAGGACTGCTTGCTGATAGGTCGACATAAGCTAAAGACAAATACCAATTCTGAGAGTGTTTTGTGGGCTGTCTGAAATGCCGTTGTACATGCTTGGCTTCATACTTGGAAAGTTAGAAAGTTGTGTCTGAAACAATTAGTTTCTGTAAGTGAAGGGGAAGTGCAGTTAAAAGATGAAAGTGCTTCATATGGTAGCAAGCCAAGGTGCAGTCAGTTTTTATACAACAGTTGATAGTGGTGTCTTCATCAATCGGCACAATTAACCCTACACAGACTAATTTGTTGGAAAATGTAATGTAGGATAGAAGTGGTGAAAAGAGCTCATACCGTGGCCAGTTATCATTTTAGTGTGTGCCTGAGTATCCTTAAGTTTTTGTATATGCTGATATGACCTCAGATATATTTAGTTCTGCCTTCCCGATATTACAGCTGCGCGTTTGTGTCTGAGTAGTATCTGCCTGAGCCTGTATTCATATGCATCAGTACTGTTAGGTCTCGGCACCTGATTTTTGCACTGTCTTTGTACAAACAGAGGATGATTGATGTTTTAGGGGCAGAATTTGAAATGAACACGTGCATTCTGGTGAATGAGAGGATCATTTCTGGTCACTCCATGGATTACAACTGGATTTTAATGATGCAGTAGTTCTAGTCACCTTTTCCTATTTTTTTTATAGGCTAATAGTAAAGGCATTTCTGATTGAAAGTTTGAGCTCAGGGACCAAACAGCTATGGAGATAATCCTACTAGAGATGCTGGCCTTTGTTAACCAACAGCAGCAACAAATTGTGATCGGTTCTGAACATTAAAGAATCTCTCTAATTCCTGTGGTGACGATGCACTTTTCTCTCTGRATGAATAGGAGTATAATGATGGCAATTACTAGAAAATTATTTGAAAAATCAGTGAAAATACATCAAGTCTCTCAAAACAAAAATCTTAGAAATGGTATCTTTATTTTTCCTGAATTCTGTATGACGGAGTTAAATTTTATTCCCTTGGAGATTGCAAAACTAATTAGCCATATTGGAACTTCAGCAAATTGCAGCAAAGGTCTTTTGTACTTCTAGGGAGCTTTTTCTGATTTTTAAGTCTGCAGAATTAATTTTAAGAAATGCAAAAAAAAAAAAATCAACAGCAAAACTTTTATCAGTAGCATATAAGATGTTTTTGATGAACCAATTTTGTTTTGTAAATTCTAAAAATAGTGCATAGTGCAAGTGAATCACTTAAGTTATGGTGAGAGGTTTTTCTTTTACATGGCAAGTATAAGACATGTATAAGACAGGCATAGACTAGCTGTATGCCGAAAACATGGGTTACACATTAAGGTGATGGTTCTTGATGAAGGTTTTACATCTTACCCTAGCTGCCTAAAGGGTATTCAAGGGATGCACATTTAAGGGGAAATTTGGCACAGCATGGTGTTAAGTGTGATTGTGTAGAAACTCTTCAACCGCTTTAATTAGGGCAAAGTTTTATTTGCAAGTTGTACTTAACTCTGCTTACAGAGATTTTTTTTTTTTTATTTTATTTCAGCTGTTTCTGGTTTAGCTTTAACTTGAGAAGAGATTTGATTTTGTCAAGATGGACCTCAGTGTGTGGAAAACACACACASAAGAAGTTTGGGCTTGAGCAGAATACACATCACAAGTTTAAAGTTTGTATCTTTAATGAGCGGGACAAAAGGAACCCAGACAGGTGGGAGAGTGAGTGGAGCCCGGAGTGGGGGGAGAGACTGCGGGGAGCCTGGAGCGAGGGGCTCACAAAGGAGTCCAAGGGCCTGAGGTGCGAACACGTGGCGGGAGGCACCACGCTGGTGCAGGCGGCCGGGCGGCCTGTGACTCCTGAGCCCCTGGGCCAACGGGGAAAAGGAGAGGGCACCGCGGGCGGGAGATGAGGATAGAAGGGGGGCTGCGTCCCCCRGCAACCTGAGAGACCCCACAGGGATATGCCYGGGGGACTCTCCCTTTATTCRAATAAAGTTTTGGGTCTCCTCTGTCTCCTTTTGGACATTCAGTTCTTGGRCAGCGAGATTTTTCCGCACATCAGAGATCGGAATGCGCAGCTTTTCCAGACCTGAAACAGCGAATGAACACCTGAAGCACTAACTCTGCATAGCGTGAGGGGCAGGAACAGCTTCCCTGTTGATTYGGTGGTTGTCACTCGGGTGATAAAGATGTTCAGGCCTGGCTGCCTTGGCCGGACGGTGAGATCTGAGCAGCCTACCACGAAGGTGCTTGGTGACAAAGACATCACCAGCGCCCTTCGCTTGTGTTCAAGCGGCAGGTGAGGCCTTTCAGAGCCTGTTTATTTTCACGCTTGTGAAACCAGMGGCAGCTGGAGCACCACGRTGGCCTCCTTACGCCACCCGTACCCAAGCTGGGCTCCTGTCCTGCTGTGCCACGGCGAGATGSAGCACTTGCACCGGGACTTGCCTCAGCACCAGGCCTCCCTTGTCCTCAGGCACTCTTATCCCCGCTGAACCTCCTGCTTTCTGCCCTGTCCCTGCCTCTCTGCTCATCCTCCCCCGCGGTGCTCCTGCCTCACCCCTACCCACTGCAGGTCCTTGTGCCCTGGACAGGGAGCGCAGGGCCCAGCGCAGGCGGCAGCTGGGGCCGCTTCCAGCAGCACCATCGCTGCTGGGAATTGCAGGCGAGTGCAGCTGGAAGGAAGCCTCCCGAGGCCTGCCCTGCAACGAGGACAGGCACAGGCCTTGCCTCCTGCAAGGCACCATCTCGGTGTGAGGCGGCCGGGCCCTGCCAGCCCCGTGCTGCACGTCCGCACGGAACGGGGCGGGCAGGGCAGGAGGGGCCAGCAGCTTCGAGCAGTGACTAATGTGGCTTTGAAAGAAAAACACAGGGCGAGTGAGAGGCCGCGCCCGCGCCCGGGGAGCGGTGCCGCCCGCCGAGGCCTCCGCCGCGCCCGGAACCTCGGCGGCGGGCGCCGTTCCCGGGCGGCGGGCGCGGGGCAGTGCGCCGCGAGGCACCGTTGCCGGGCGCCCGCGGGGAAGGAGGCGGCGGCGGCGGGCCCGCGGCGCGGCGCGGCGCGGCGGGGGCGCCATGGCGGCGCTGGGGCTGAGCGAGCGCGAGCGGGCCGGCTGCCGCGACCTGCTCGAGTTCCTGGACACCGAGGAGCTCGTGGCGCTCACCGACACCATCACCAACCGCCTCGTGCACCCCGAGAGCCGCCAAGGTGCGCGGCGCCCCGCGGGCGGGGAGGCCGCCGGCCCCGGGCTGCTGCCGTTAACGGCCCCGCGCGCCTGCCGTTAACGGCCCCGCGCCCCCGGCGGGGGCCGCCGCCCCCGCGCTCGGCGGATGGCGGCGCCTCGGGCGGCGCCGGCGGCTTCTCCTCCTGCCGGAGGCCCGAGCGCGGCCGCTCCCCGCGCTAACCGGCCCCGCTGCCCCTTCCCGCGGGGCCCAGGCGGCCCTGGAGGCCTCGCGCTGCCGGCTCGGGGCGAGCGCGGCCTGCGCCTGGAGCCGGGCGCGCTGCTCGGGGTGCCCCGGCGGAGCGCCCCGCTTGGGAAGGCTGCGCGCTGAGCAGCGGCCGCGCTCCCTCCTCGTAGGGCCTCTAGAAGGAAYTACAAGGCGTCTCTCCTCCACCCTGATTGTTAGTCTCCTGTTTAAGTCTACAGTATTGCCGTAGCGGAAGCATTAAGCACCTGGCCTCTGTTTAAAGGCCGAATAGCTGCCACAACTGCTTTGAAACTGCATTTTATCCTGTCGTGTTTCCTGATTTTGTTGCAGAGCCCCTGGAAGACTTTCCCAAGTTATGTTTTAGTGCCCTGCCTTCGTACTATTATACATGCCCCTCCCAACCTCAACCGTTCTGTGATAGTGTTCCCTTATGAGTTTGGGACTTTGAATGTGGGGGTGGGAAATTAAACAGATTTAAATCTGTTTCCATCCATCCATCCACAGAAGCCGGGATAGACAAATAGTGCTGGTGTCCAAAATCTGCCAAGTTTTGGTTCTAGAAATTTTTATTTTGCATACAGCAAACTAGGCTGTTACTTATCTTCTATATGTGCATTTCAGTCAATTTACTGTTCACAGGGAAAATAAGACCTCACGTACTTTTGAAGATAACAATACATTTTTTTTTTTTTTATCTGAAGTGACCCAAACTGCCCATTTGATTTCAAAATTACGATTAAAATTCCTTATTCAGAAGAACTGTAAAAATGTATCCAATTCTCCTTTCTCTCTGTAGTCCTGTCTTTAAGGCGACAGGCCGGTCAAAATAGTCCAGAGCTTTTCCCGTAGAGGAAACAGGCCCACATTTGCTTTTGCTGTAAGATAATCAAAGTAAGAAGCCATGAACGATTCTGCGCTAAAACCAAATCAGTTTATTGTGAAGTTTATTGTGCTTGCCAGGGAATAGGGGTGTGTGTTGTATCAAAGAGGCTCAGGAGTGCCTGAAGTTTCTAAGCAACTAGAAAGTTTCAATCCCCTTGGAGAATATTAGCTACTTGGCTAATTTTGTTTGGCTACTTACCTAATAATCTGTTCTGGACACATATTGATAGAATATAAGGGACTTTTGCTAGGTTATCAATATCAAGAGTATCATTTTTTAGAAATGTTTCCAATGTTTATCTTCTGTATCTAATTCAAGTTACARCTAATTAGATCAGACTTCCATTTACAGATAGTTTTTAAGTTTTTCCATTTCACTTAGTCTTGGTCAGAAGTTTTAAGAAGTTTAGCTGGTAATCATGAGAAAAGCAGCTGTTAATTACTAACATTCTTCATTTGCAGAAGCCATCCACGCAATTTTGGTTTACAGCCAAAGCGCAGAAGAGCTTTTGAAACGAAGGAAGGTCTATCGAGAAATAATCTTTAAGTATTTGTCAACACAAGGGGTTCCAGTGCCTCCTTCCTCAGAGAAGCACCAGCTCATTGATCGGGTGAAACGGTACTGGAATGGGCAGCTCCCGTGCAGCTCCTCACCCTCAGGGGACAGAAAACCGCGCGCAGAGGTGAGTGCCGCTTTCTGGGAGGCCTGAGCATGTCCAGCAGTCGCTTTACAGGCTAAACCATGGGGGTAATCCTGCTGTTTAGGAAGGTGCCACATCTCTTACTGCTGACATTTAGAAGCTGATTATGCCAAGACATCGTTGCGAACAGCCTTCTGCTCTGTCCGGTTGAGCTCCTAATGTTTGGGGGCTTCTTCAGGCCTATCAAAGGTGTTTGGGATAATTCTGTGGCTTCAAAGACAGTTGAAAACAACAGTGATGTAGAAACGCAAAGTAGCTCCTGGTCATTTTTCTGCGTGGTGGGCAAACTTCAGGAATTTATATTATTTTGAAGTACCCACTGAATGTTTGTTTATATTGCAGTATATAGGTGTGTTTGTGTCGTTTTCTGTAAAATGTGAAAACTGAGCACAAACAGCTTATGGCAATTAGTGGAAGATGCATTTCAAAAAATTTCATGCTGTCTTTCATGGACCCTTTCTTTCGAGAGGATTTTAGGTGCATCAAGGGTCTCTGAGCCTTTTCAGACCCTTCTTTTAAGGTTTTGCTGGCTCACGGAAGTGTTTACTTTGGTTCACTGCTGCAGTACACCTCCTCAGCAGAGTGAGTGTTGCAGCAAGGGTTTTATATTGATCTACATGATGCTTTATTTCCAGGGAAAGTATATGTGTGAAAAATGTCTGAAAACCCCTTCTATCCTACCAAATTGCGTCTGTTTTAAATAATCATTTGTACAGTTGGAAAAGTAGCTGAGACTGCTCAAGACTTCTTTTTTTCTGTGGCAAAGATAACATTGGCTATAATTTTGTTTGATTTGACTTCTTCTATTACACATATGATGAAGACTTACAACCATGAAAGTGACCAAACACCTTTTGTAATTTCAGCAATTTTACCACCAAACTGAGATACACTGAGGCACGTGGTAACGCTGGTGAGAAAGATCTGGAACACAGTAGTTTCTTCAAACTTCAATTCTTCTTGAATTAGTTGTGCATTTTGTTTGTGTGTTTCACTGACACGAGTAACATGCCCAGATAAACTGAAAGTATCCTGTCAGCATCAGGATATACATGTCCAAAAGGTTACCTTTTGAACTCTTTTGTGTGCAGATAACACAATTGGCAAGTTGAAAAGATTCAATAAAGAAGAGATTGAAGGTAGCATGAAACAGCGTAAAGATGTCAGAATAAAGGCTTAGGTATAAAAACATTTTTAAGCAATTTAATTTGCCTGGATCAAGGGTAAGTTTGAGTCTGGGTCTTTTTTGTTGGTTTATTTTTCTGTAACCTTATTTTGGAATTATAAAGACAAGAGACAAGGTCCTTGTACAAACTGTTTTTATACAGCAGGTATTTTGTGCTATCTCAGTGTGAGAATCTAACTTTGTGGAAATTGTTCAAAAAACTCCCTATTGTTTTTTGCTAGAACCAGACTTTGCTTTTGGAATATAAAGTGCAGATCATGATCAAATTTCAGTACCATTCTAGCCTCAATTTAAAAAGCCACATGTAATACCCTTGAGGTTGCAGTGATGATAATATTAAAAATAGATTATGCTTTGTTTCTTGAGACACTTGGTCCCAAATATTCAATGTGAAGAACTCTTACAATGTTTAAAATAAGAATTAARATCATTTTAGTTGTTTTCAAATGGCAAACTCAGATGTCACGGCTAAAATAATGTAAAAAGAAAAATTTGCTTGATTGCAGAGTCACGAGAAGAGCCAAAAGGTGCAAAATGATGACATTGATCACCTAGGAGAAGAATTCTGTCAATGGTTCTTTGAACTTCTGAACTCTCAACATCCATTGAGTGTGCAATCTGAAGAAACATGGGGGCCACAGCATTTCTGGGAGGATGCCAAAATGAAATTCTGTTACAATACATTAGAAAAAAACATGGAAGAATACGTTGGTGCAGAAATGGTGAGCCTTCGTCTGCTCTCGTTGGTTAAAGAAGAGTATCTTCTACTGAATCCCAACTTGAATACTGACGGACTGAAGTGCACAATGTCTCGACATGGGTTGGTGCTGGTAGCCGTGGCTGGTACGGTACATAGAGGCAATAGCTGTTTGGGTGTTTTTGAGCAAATTTTTGGACTCATCCGCTGCCCAATGAGAGAGAACACCTGGAAAATCAAATTTGTGAATCTTAAAATAGTTGGACAGAATGCTCTGGAGCCTGGGAAGCAATTTGAAAAGCCATCCATAAACTATGAATCAAACCAACTGCAAGCACTGTATGATGGGAAAGAGCTGAGCCTGATGGAATCTCAGAAATTCTGAGCAATTCCTTCACAACTGAGAGACTACAGGGGGAAAAAACACCGGACACTTGTAGTGCTTCCTTAAATATTGAAACCATTGAAACCATTGCAGCTGTGTCATGTTGTCTCTTTGAGTCAGATTTACTAACTGAATGGCAAACATTATATATATATATATATATATATATATATACCAGCATAAAATGTTACTAATATTTTGGGCACCTTTCCAACAACTTGCAAAGAATTCAGAATGTTTTAAAACTTTTTTAGCTGTATAAAATTACTTTGGTTACTCTTAGTTATAAAACGTGGTTATGTTTAAATATGCAGTGGCAGCAGTATACAGTGTGGGTTGAGATTCACAAATTGTGGATTACTTCTCCAGTCACCAGAGAAAATTGATGAAAATTGAGAAWTTTTTTGGCCCTGGCTGCTCAGGGATGTAATAATAAATATTCTACGGAAAACGATTGGCCAGGATCTGAATGTCAATGATATACTTTGTGAGATTGTATACAGTGAATAAAAGAGGGCGGAATGAAGCTGATCATTTTTATGGGGGACACTGATACTTTGATGTGCAATCCCCTGCATGTTACCGTGAAGGAGGAATAGCCTGATTACAACTGTCCCATTAGCATAGAATGCCCAAGG